GAGGTCCTTCCGCAGCCATGCACGATTGCTCCCTCTGTCCCAGCAGCTCTGTCAGCCCAGGGGACGAAAGCACTGCAGGCGGCCCAGAGGAGCGCCCAGTGGGCAATAGATCAAGTGGCAATGGAGATCCAGCACAGACTCCATGCGTGCAGAGGCTGCGTGAACCACACGGCCCCGTGCCCCGGTGAGCTCACACTGACGACCTGCGCCCCCCGTCCTGGCCACCCCACCCCACCCCTCCCCTCCAGACTGGACTCCCTCTCGGGGACAGAAACTAGGTGGGGCTGCAACAGAGACGACCCTCAGAAGGTCTCCCAAGCAGCAAGGGCACAGCGTGGGCGAGGCAGGAGGGACTGTCTGGGCTCATTTGGTGAACAGCGGGAAGTGTAAGGTTGCTGACGCGGACCCTGACTGCCGGGGGGGGGGGGGGGGGGGGGGGGGGGGGGGGGGGGGGGGGGGGGGGGGGGGGGGGGGGGGCGGGGGGGTGAGTAACAGAAGGGGAGCAGCAGGACAGAGAGAGGGCGCAGGCCCTGCCTGGGGTGCAGGAAGGTGGGAGGGTAGCAGTGAGACTCAGAGGTCTGTATCTCAGCAGGGCCTGGGCGTCCTAGGCCACAGCCTCAGGATCCAACTGAGCCAGGTAAGGCTGAAAGGGCTCGAGGGGGTTAGGGGGGGCAGGGCGATCCCTGGAGGGGCCTCGAGGGAGAGGGCGGCAAGGACTTGTCCCCCGTGATGGCTGCCGATGCCACCTTTCTAGGGCCGTGTGGTGAGAGGCACCGGAGCGCGGTCAACGTGACGCGTGCCCACGGCCGCATCGTCGGGGGTAGCGCCGCACCCCCCGGGGCCTGGCCCTGGCTGGTGAGGCTGCAACTCGGGGGGCAGCCTCTGTGCGGCGGCGTCCTGGTGGCGGCGTCCTGGGTACTCACCGCGGCGCACTGCTTCGCGGGGTACGTTCGGCCCCAGGCCCCTGACCAGCCCTGATCCCCAACGCTTGGTCCCACACTTCCGGGGTCGTCGGGCGGGCGACACGTGCGCGGGCCGGTCTCTGCTGCCCCCTGGCGGCCACCACCGCCCTGCGCAGCCTGGGAGCGGATATCAGGGGACCCACCACCCTCTCCGCTGGGGGCTCCTGGGGACCCCCGCCTCGCCCTGGCCCACCCTCCCTGCCCCGCGGGAAACAGCGGAGAAAGAGCCCGGCGTGCGGACTTGCTGGGTGGTGCCTGTGGGCGGAGGGCAGGGTCTCCAGGGGACCCGCTGCCCCTCGTCCTGCGTATCAGCCGCCGTTCGGCCCGCAGCGCCCAGAACGAGCTTCTGTGGACGGTGACGCTGGCTGAGGGGCCGCGGGGGGAGCAATCCGAGGAGGTGCCGGTGAACCGCATCTTGCCCCACCCCAAGGTGAGAGGACAGTCCCCAGGCTCTCCGAGTTGGGAACAGCGCCCCCACCCCACGCTTCATTGACATTGCGACGCCACCCCCTCCGCAGTTTGACCCGCGGACCTTCCACAACGACCTGGCCCTGGTGCAGCTGTGGACGCCGGTGAGCTGGGCAGGGGCGGTGCGCCCTGTGTGCCTGCCCCAGGGGCCCCGGGAGCCCCCCGCCGGCACGGCCTGCGCCATCGCGGGCTGGGGGGCCCTTTTCGAAGGTATGGGGCAGGCCCGGGCCTGGGTGAGCCGCGAGTGTGAGTGAGAAGAATGGGAGGCTGGCGTGATGGAGTTTGGGAAGGCCGGGGTGTAAGGAATCGGACTTCGTTCCTTCGCAAAATGCTGCCTAGTGTTGCAAACGGGGAGGAATCAAGGAGGGCGGGGGCGAGGGCGGGGGGGGGGCGGGGGACCCTGGAAGCGAGGCTCTTGCCCTGCAGGCCTGAGCCCTCCACCGCTTCCCTGTAGACGGGCCTGAGGCTGAGGCGGTCAGGGAGGCCCGAGTGCCCCTGCTCAGCGCTGACAGCTGCAGAAGGGCCCTGGGGCCCGAGCTGCACCCCAGCAGCATGCTCTGTGCCGGCTACCTGGCCGGGGGCATCGACTCGTGCCAGGTATGAGCCCTGATTGACCGGAGGGTGCTGAGTGGGCTGTTTCCCAGGGAGAGGACAGCCTCTTCCCTTCCACGGTCAGGCTGTCATTCAGCTTGTCTGAGCCTCTATGTTCTCATCGCTAAAATGGGTACAAGAGTAGTAACTCCCGGGGGGAACCCAAAGCTGCCTCACCCTGCCAAGTGTGAAGCTGGCGTATGAGGGGGCAGGTCAATGTAGTGCCCTCTCTTTTGACTCGGGTCCCGCAGGGTGACTCTGGAGGCCCCCTGACCTGTTCTGAGCCTGGCCCCCGCCCCAGGGAGGTCCTGTACGGGGTCACCTCCTGGGGGGACGGATGCGGAGAGCCAGGGAAGCCCGGAGTCTACACTCGAGTGGCCGTGTTCAGGGACTGGCTCCAGGAGCAGATGAGCGGTGAGCGCCCCATTCCTATTCCCCTCTCCCCGCAGTGAGCCGCCTGCAGCCCTGGAACAAGCCCGTCTTCACCCCACCCTCCCCCAGCCGCTTAGGGCGTCAAGAAAGCCTGTATCCCTTCAGGGGAGGGCTGCGGGGACAGAGCCCAAAGCCGGGGCTGAGACGGTCCCCGTCGACCCCCGCAGCAACCCCCTCCAGCCGGGAACCCAGCTGCAGGGAGCTTCTGGCCTGGGACCGACCCGGGGAGCCGCAGGCGGACGCCGCCCCGCCCTGCGCCTTCTACTCCCGCGTGTGCCCGGGGCCCGCGGTCGCCTGTGCGCGTCTGGCGCACCAGCAGTGCCTGCAGCGCCGGAAGCGATGCGGTCAGTCCAGTCCCCAGGGCGGGAGCGGGGCGCAGGGGGCCTGGCCCCCGTCTGACCTCCGCCCGGACCCTTGTCCCGCCCGCAGAGCTGCGCTCGCTGGCGCACACCCTCCTGGGCCTGCTACGGGGCGCTCAGGACCTGCTCGGCCCGAGCCCGGGAATGCGGCGCCTGGCCCCAGGCCTGGCTCGCCCCGCCCTGTCGCTCCTAGAGCCTCCCAGGCACCCTGCCCGCGAGCAGCGGCTGCACCCAGGTACGCCCGCGCCTCCGTATCCCAGCCCCCGCACCCCCACTGCGCGCGGCGGACGCGATCCCCTAACCCTGCGTCTCCCCAGGATCGCGGGCTGCAGGCACGCGGTTCCCGAAGCGGAGACCCGAGCAGCGCGAGGAAGCGAGCGGTAAGGACGCCCCCTGGCGGCCGTTGCCGGGAGAGTAGCATGCCCAAGGCAACCCTGCAGGGAGTCACCCACCCCAAGGGGCAACCAGCCGACTAACTCTCCTCACCCGCCCCCCCCCCGCAGTAGGGAAGATGACTCTTTGGGGGGACTTGTGGAGTTGGACCCCCCTCAATGGCAGCAGAGACCTCAGTTTCCCCATGTGTAGCATGCGAAGAAATCGGCCCACTGGGAGGCCATCCTGAGGCCCTGGTGGGAATCCCACTCCCAGCTCCTTGCTGGTGTCAGTTTTCTGTTATTCCCAGGACCTCTCCCCTTCTTTCAGGCTGCCCTGGGTTGGAGACGCTGCAACAGAAGCTGGCCACCCTTCAGGGCACCCATGCCTGGATCCTGCGAGTCCCGTCAGAGCACTTGGCCATGGACTTTCATGAGGTAGGCTCTCGGGCTTCCCACGGTCACTCACAGTGGCCTCAGAAGGCTGACCTGGGGCAGCCCTAGTAGGTGGGGGGGGCAGAAGGGGTACCCTCCACAGCAAGAGGGAGGACCCGCCCCCCCTGCAGCTTGGGGTGGAGGTGGGGGTGTTTTGGGAGAAAGGGATAGGGAGGGCAGCTATGTGGAAGCTGGGGTGCCGGGTGGGGTGGAGGGGAAGGTGCGGCGGACAGATGTGAGTGGAAGGGTATGTGAGTGTGTCCAAGTGAGCCAGAAGTGTGCGGGATTGGGGGCTGGGGAGGGGAGTGGGTCTGGGTGAGAGTTTCTGGGGGCCAGAAGGAGGGAGGCCCCGAGCGAGGCTGTGGGCCCCGATTCTCCTTCCACAGGTCCTGGCAGATCTGGGCTCCAAGACGCTGAGCGGCCTCTTCCGAGCCTGGGTGCGGGCGGGCTTGGGGGACCGGCACGTGGTCTTCGGCGGCCTGGTGGGCCTGGAGCCAGCCACAATGGCCCGCAGCCTCCCCCGGCTGCTGCTGCAGGCCTTGCACGCCTTGCGCTCGGCCGCCGTAGCAGAGGCAGCGGCACCCCAGACGGGTGCAAGGCAGAGTGGGGGGGCCAGAGAGGAAGGGGCAGTCCCCAAGAGCCCTCAGATTCCTTCAGCCAGGGGGCCATGAACCACATCTGGGCCCCTAACCCCGGGTCAGGACCTCCTGCTCCCAAGGGCTCCTCTGATGACAAACTGTCACAGCCAGAGTTGGCCGGGTGTGGGGGGCCAGGGGACCTGGGTCCGCGTGTCTTCCCTGATGTGCCGTCAGAAAATCGCAGCTACTTCAATAAACATTATTTATGATCTACAGAGATGACTCTGGAGCTTTCTTGGGATAAGAACCGGATGGGTGGGCATTAGACAGGGCCAGACAGGGCCCAGCGCCCAGAAGCAGTTGGCGGAGGTCACGGAGACGCTGGAGAGAGGCTGCTAAGCCCCCATCTCTTGTGCTCTTCTGCTCCGCCCCCCAAGAAACAGCAACAGCTGACCTGTCTGTCACCACTCCCCTGTGCGCGGCCGGCCAGCACTGCCCCAGTGTCCAGTCCCCTCTACCCGGCCCCCAGCCCCACTGCTAATTGCGGGGAATTCCAGTCTGGGATCTTTGCCTCACGTCCTTGGGCTCCGGCCCAGGAGCCAGTCCTTGTCCCCACCCCCGTGTCACCTGCCTTGGCTTTTCTACCCAGCAGCCATGCCCAGAGGTGTCAGATTGCGTTTCCGGCTGCCTCTTCCCTTTGCGCCCCCGCCCCCACCCTGCACCTGTCCCCTCTCCTACACACCCACACATTCCCCAGCCCTGTAGACTGGAGGGGCAGCCACAAGACCCAGCCGGAGGGACAGGATGGAGGGGCCGCTGTTAACGCTGGGGCTGCTGGCTGCCCTGGTCGTGTGCGGTAAGCGTGGGCATCACCCTGCCCTGAAGGGTCCCTCAGGACTTGCACCCAGGGTCCCTACTGCGTAGTCCCCGCCGACTCCTCCCACTGGCGCGCCCCCTTCCCCTGCATCCGGCCCAGCTCCCATCCCCCACTGCCATTTCTCCCTGGAGGGGCTGACCACCAGGACCCCTTCCTGGGGAGCGGTTGGGCCCCCTCCCTCCCCCATGACCCGGCAGGATGTCACGGCAGCCCCCTTCCCCGTCCTGTCCCTCCCCAGACAGCTGGGGCCTGAACGAGGAGGAGCGGCTGATTCGGCACCTGTTTGAAGAGAAAGGCTACAACAAAGAGCTCCGGCCTGTGGCTCACAAGGATGAGAGTGTGGAGATCTCGCTGGCCCTCACGCTCTCCAACCTCATCTCCCTGGTGAGGGGCCGCTCCGTGGCTGGGCTGGGGACCCGAGGGCAGGGGCAGCTTCCTGGAGGCCTGGCTGTCTCCTGGCCTGGGATGGCCACGGAGGAAGCTCAAGGTCCCAGCCTGGCCCGTGGTAGCCCCTCTCCCGGGGAAGCATGCTCCAGCGTTCTCCAAGTTCAGGGGCGCCCGCAGGCCTTGAGCTGCTGCCCCTTCCTCTCCGGCTGCAGCTCTGGGGGGTGGCGGCTGGTGAATGTGTGCAGGTGCAAGAGCGATGTGGGCCCTGGGGGACAGTCCTCTCGTGTGATTACAGAAAGAAGTTGAGGAGACCCTCACCACTAACGTGTGGATTGAGCACGTAAGGAGAGTACCCCACTCAGAGCGGGGGTGGGGGGTGGGGGGGTGCAGGGCCCGTCCTCCCCTGTGCTCCCTTCTGCTTAGGGATCTCCAGGAGGGAGGCCTCCTGGCCTCCAGAGGAGCTGGCTCCCACCCACAGGCCCAGCTGTCCTTCCCACCACCTTGTACAGCCACGAGCTCAGATAGAGACTTCCAGTGGATTGGGATTCTTTATCTACGGCAAAATTGTCAGAGTATTCTGATTTATTAGAAAACACTCTTCTGCCATCCATCAGAAGTTCATAATACAGACATAAATCTTCTATGTCCACAGTGAAATGCGCTCCCTTTGTTGTGCAGTATACATTCCACACAGCTGTACATGACAGACCTGAGTCCTAACTCTGTACCCACCTCCCCAAATCTCTTTCGTCACAGTTCCCAGACCCTATCCAGTCCTCCCCCAGGGAGGCGAGGAGAGCCTGGACAACAGCAGAGCCTACCGCTGAGGTACCTTTCGGGTTTGCAGGGCTGGACAGACCCCCGGCTGCAGTGGAATGCTGAAGAATTTGGAAATATCAGTGTCCTGCGCCTGCCCCCTGACATGCTGTGGCTCCCGGAGATTGTGCTGGAGAACAAGTTGAGCCACAACCCCGCCTGGCGTGCCCTCCTCCCTCTGCCTCCCCCAACTCTGCCAGCTCCAAGCTGGCTGGCATTCATGGTGGTCTTTGTCCTTGTCCCTCAGCAATGATGGCTCCTTCCAGATTTCCTATGCCTGCAACGTGCTCGTGGACCCATCAGGCTATGTGTACTGGCTGCCTCCCGCCATCTTCCGTTCCTCTTGCCCCATCTCTGTCACCTACTTCCCCTTCGACTGGCAGAACTGCTCCCTCAAGTTCAGGTGCACCCACTTCTCCAGCCACCCCTCCCCCCGGGGCACCCTGCCAGGGGCTGAGAGAGGTGCATGAAGCACCCTCGGTCCTGATGAGAGCTCCCCCATCCCCACAACGGTGCCTCTGACCATGAACCTCCTGTACTAGCCTTTCCGCCATCAGTGGCCGCGGCCAGGGGCTGAGGACCACCCTCTACCCACTGCCCTCCTCAGTTCACTCAAGTACACGGCCAAGGAGATCACTCTGAGTCTGAAGCAAGAGCAACAACAGGGCCGCTCCTATCCTGTGGAGTGGATCATCATCGACCCTGAGGGCTTCACAGGTGCTGAGAGTAGCGGCTGGTGGGTGGGCAGGCCCCTCAGACACACACCTGTGCATACAGTCACACCAACGCCTCCCCGCCAGGGAGGCACGTGTGCACACACACACCCGGAACGTGGACATACAGGCACACAGATGGGCAGATACATACCGACCCACAGAGAAACACGTGAGACATACTTACTGACACAAATCTAGAGCATTGAAAGGAAAGAAGGTCCAACTTGAGGGGATCATGTCCCAAAGGTAGAGACAGACGGGGGCCAGCGCCCCACCCCTTCCTCTGCCCAGGCCAGAAGACCCTCCTGGGTCTGGACAGGGTCCCTGGGGATGGACGTAGCTGACAAATGAGGGAGGTAATTAGTCTCCTGTTCCCACTAAACCCAGAGGTGTGGTTGGGGCTTTAGGGACCCATCATCCTAATGTTGTGTATGTCGCCCCCTACCGACTTCCCCCACTCCTATCTATGACCAGGCTCAGATCTTCTATGGGGCCCCCAGCACACACCCCTGTTCATCAGAGAAGACCTACATCACACTGGTCCCAGGGCGGCCACATCACCAGCGGTTTGGGGGCGGGGGCATTGGTCTTACTGTCGCTGAACCATTATCTCTAAGGCTCCTTATTTGAACCATATACAGCCTCAGCTTCTGTATTTTACACACACACACACACACACACACACACACACACAAAGAGCAACAACAACAATAATAATAAAAAAAAAAAACACTCCCAAAGGAAAATTTCCCCCTTGCAGATTGAAGCCCCCTTCCCAACCCTCAGGGAAAGACGCCCACCAACAGAACCTAAACCCTCCTCTGCATGTGCCCTTGTGCTGGCTCACTCCACCCAGAACCCCCCCGTCCTTCCCCACCACCATCCTGACCCCCTTGCCTGGCCTGACAGCAAGGTATCCTTCTGCCCTCCTCAGAGAACGGGGAGTGGGAGATAGTGCACCGGCCAGCCAGGATCAACGTGGACCCCAGTGTCCCGCTGGACAGTCCCGGCCACCAGGATGTCACCTTCTACCTCATCATCCGCCGCAAGCCCCTCTTCTACGTCATCAACATCCTGGTGCCTTGTGTGCTCATCTCCTTCATGATCAACCTGGTCTTCTACCTGCCGGCTGACAGTGAGCCTGAACCTGCCCCAGCTCCCGGGCCACGTGGGGCAGCCTCTCCCTGTCCCTGAGGGCATCTGCACATGAGCCTCCCCAGCCCTCCCCTCCCTCCTCCAGGAGCCACAGTGGGGTCACCACTCCCGGGGCTCTGTGCCCAGGGTCCAGGCATGGGGTGGGGGGCATGTGGCCAGCCAAGCGGAGGGTTTTGCGACCTGTCCAATACCCCCAAATGGACAGTCCCTCTTGGACCCTACTTCTGCTTCTCACAGCAGGCTTCCCAAGGACCCTAGGGAGAACCCCTAGACTGTCTCTCTGTCAGAGCAGAAACAGATCTGTCCTGGTCACCCTGTGTGATCATGGGGCTGGCACACAGAAGGCCATCCACTTTGAGCCAGTGGGTGGAGGACTAGGAGTTGGGGTATTATCAGTGCTGTGAGGATGTCCTGGAGCTTTCTGGGACATGCAGGATGGGACATGCAGCTCTGTGATGGGGGCAGGGGGTCCGTGGCAGGGAGCTGGCTAACAATGATGGCCAGTGTTCACTGAGCACCTGCCCAGTGCCTGGTGGAGTGATGAGCACTTAACACTCTCTCACTTTGTCCTCACACCATTTAGCATTTGAGAAAACTGAGGCACAGAGAGGTTAGGCTATTTGCCCAAGGCCACCCAGCCAGTAAGTGGCAGAGCTGGGATCTGAACCCAGCTGCTCTAGCTCCATAGCCCAGGATGTCAACCAAGGTACCATGGCATTGTGAATAGTGGTGAAGGGGCCACAGTGGGACCCGCTGGGGTCAAGACCAGAGGTAGCAGCTAAGTCCGGGCTCTCCCAGGTGGTGAGAAGACATCAATGGCCATCTCAGTGCTCCTGGCCCAGTCCGTCTTCCTGCTGCTCATCTCCAAGCGGCTGCCTGCCACGTCCATGGCCATCCCCCTCATCGGCAAGTGAGTGATGGCTATGCCACGCCGTGCTTCACCCGCCCCACCCTGCCTCACCCTACCCCACACCGATACCCCCCACCAAGACTCGCCTGGCCACGCCCTGCCCCGCGGGCTCCAGGCTGAGTGTGTGCCTACAGGTTCCTGCTCTTCGGCATGCTGCTGGTGACCATGGTCGTGGTGATCTGTGTCATCGTGCTCAACATCCACTTTCGCACACCCAGCACCCACGTGTTGTCTGAGGGGGTCAAGAAGGTGAGGGCTCTAGGCCAGTGGCTGGGCGTTGTCCAGCCGTCCCTCTAGGAGACTGTGCTCACTTAGGGGAGTGCCACCCTGCCGTGCAGAAGTGCCACGCACTGCCACCCACTCAGCGTGGACAGCTCTCCTAGCACACGGGGACTTGAAAGGAGCCAGGCACTAAAAAGCACAGGCTGCACACTTTGCTATCTCTGAAGTTCAAGGTCAGGCAACACCAGCCTTCAGTGATAGAAATCAGGATGGTGATTACCCCCGGGGTGGGTGGGAACTGATGGGAGGGGCCATGAGGGAACACTTCAGCGGTGTTTGTGTTTGGTCGCTCTCTCGTCTGATGGCGTTTACGCAGTTGAATGCGTCTGTAAAACTCCATCTGGCTCTACACTTAAGATTTGCTCAGTCTACTGGATGTGTGTTACACCCCAATTAAGAAGAAGGTGAGGAACGTGGGGACAGTGTCCCCAGGAGAATGGTGTCCTTGCCACTAGCTATTCTGGGATAGTTGAGGGTGCCTTAGCAACCTGTTTGGTCTTTAGCATTTTAAGAAGAGAGCTCAGCATTTGGGGTATTTTTCTTACTTTTTAGTTTTTCATATATAATTCATTCTCAACAAATGAGCTGTGCTTTGTGCTATGAATACTGAGGGATAGTTGGAAGCAACCTAAGTGTCCATCAGTGAAAGATCGGGGGAATGGATGACAGCGTCAGACCCTGGAGTACTTTGTGGCAGCCAGGAATTGAGTCACAGATGCTTGGATGTGTGAAGGTGGCCCATGTCCGTAAAATAGCCTTCCTGTGCCCCCCTGACCTGCTGCAGCTCTTCCTGGAGACCCTGCCCAAACTCCTACACATGTCCCGCCCCGCAGAGGATGGGCCCAGCCCGGGGGCCCTCGTCCGGAGGAGCAGCTCCCTGGGCTACATCTCTAAGGCTGAAGAGTACTTCTTGCTCAAGTCCCGAAGTGACCTCATGTTTGAGAAGCAGTCAGAGCGGCACGGGCTGGCCCGGCGCCTCACCACCACACGTAGGTCCCCGTGTGGCTTGGGAGCTTGGCCCGTTGGCGGGAGGCGGGCTGGGGCCAGGCCTCATGCCCACCTCTGGCCCGGTATCCACAGGCCGGCCCCCAGCAGGCTCCGAGCAAGCTCAAGAGGAGCTCTTCCGTGAGCTGAAGCCAGCTGTGGACGGAGCCAACTTCATCGTCAACCACATGAGGGACCAGAACAGTTACAATGAGGTGAGTAGCCACAGGATTGCCACACCTAGGGAGTCTCCTGTCTTAGGGGGCTCGGTCCCCACCTGAGACACACACCGACTTAGAGGAAGGAGTTCACAGTGGGTGCAGACTCCAGGCGCCCTGGGAGGGAGAGCCCGTACCTAGAACCCCAGAGCGGCACACTGGGCCAGGCACACAGCTCCCTTAGGGTCCCTTCTGTGTCCCGGCTGCCGACCATTTTTTCCGTGAGATTTTCCGTCCCTGCTCAATTCCAAGTCTGACACTCCAGACGTACTCAGACATTCCCAAGGCAGCCTTAGGTGGTTGTTCAATATCACACAACTTTTACAGCTGCTTTCTTGAGAAAGGGGCACCATTTTCCAGCTCATGTATGGGCTGGCTGGAGGGATGAAGAGAGAGGAGAGGGGATAATTTACTGTCCTGAGCCCCGTGAGAGAGGCCCCAGGCACCCTCAGCTCCTCTTCAGCCCCCGGAGCCCTCCAGCGGGGGGAGGAGGGACAGACAGAGACCTTGGCCTCAGGGGGGCCTGGGCCCCGCTGGGGACACACCAGCACATCCCATCCACCGGAGGCCACGCCCGCAGAGACACCCAGGCCGTGGCTGCGTCACCGGCCCCCGCGTGGGGCGTGGGGCTGTGGTTCGAGGCCCTCCCTCACCCCCTCTGTCTCTGCCCCCGTCCCCAGGAGAAGGACTGCTGGAACCGAGTGGCCCGTACAGTGGACCGACTCTGCCTGTTTGTGGTGACGCCCGTCATGGTGGTGGGCACGGCCTGCATCTTCCTGCAGGGCGCCTACAACCAGCCTCCGCCCCAGCCCTTCCCCGGGGACCCCTTCTCCTACCATGAGCACGATAAGCGCTTCATCTAGGGTAGGCCTGCCCTGCCCCGCTGGACCAGCTCCCAGATGGCTTCGGGTTCGGGGCGGGTGCGGTCGTGTGGACAGGGATGCCTGAGAGAGGACGAGCCCTTCCTGGGAAGGCCAGCGTCTGGCCCTGAGACTCGGGCCCAGCTGATCCTGCAAGGCCGGGGCAGGAAGAGCTGGGCTTTCCTGAGATTAAGGAAGGAAGGGAGAAGCCACGCTCGTCAACCCCGGTCCTCTGCAGCTAAAGCCAGGAGCCGCCGGGGAGGTCTGAGAGTGGACACCGCCTGGCGGTCAGAGCGGGGCAACGTGGGGGGAGGCTGGGGCTGGCTCCGGGGCCACGGAGGATGCCACTCAGGCTGGCCTTTTAGGACCCCTTCTGTGAGGAGTTAGAAAGGCAGAGGCCACTTCCTGCCTCCCCATCCCCCGGGTGGGAATAGAGCAGGTGGGATCCTGTGCCTTCACTTCCCTGCTCCTTCGCCACCCACCTCTCAGCACTCCTCAGCCTTCAGCTTATGGATCCCAGGTAGGGACACCTCCCTCTCCAGGCCTCCTAAGGAAGGGGGCTTTCAGCAGGGGCGGGGGCACCGGGGTTGCAAAATGGCCTTCCCTAGCCCTCTCTGCCTTGGTGACACTGTCTGGGTCCCTCAGGGAAGCCGAGGACCAGGGTGGAAGGGTCGGGCTCAGCGTCCACAAAGACCTGAGGTCAGCTTATCAACCTCAGGTCGTATGCACAATCCTAGCGCCCCAGAACTCAGCCCTCCCCCAAGAAGTGTCCCCTGTTGACACCTATTCTCCTCCCCAAAGTAGGGCTTCCATACAATATTTGGGACATACTTTTGCCAAAAATTATTCATTGTGTATCTGAAATTCAAATTTAACTGGGCATGCTGTATTTTTATTTGCTAACTTTGGCAAAAGAAGCCCCCCGCCAATTCTATCCCAAGAGCCACAGGCTGAGGCTGCAGATGCTGCCTGGGAGACATGATAGCCTACCTCCCAGATACCCCCGGTGGTCCCCGCCTCCAGCCACACCCTGCATAGCCTCCTCCCACCCTGTACCACGCTTGGTCTGTGTGACCAACAGAATGAGGGGGAAGTGATGGTGTGGCAGCTCTGAGATGAGGCTCTAGAAGACACTGCAGCCCTTCATTTGCTCCCACTCCATCACCCTCGCTTTCAGTTAGATCTCTCACCCTGGGGAAGCAGCTGGCATGGAGAGCAGCCCTGTGGAGAGGCCCACACGGCAAGGGACTGAAGCTCTCTGCCTGCAGCCACACGCGTGACCTTGGAAGTGGATCCTTCAGCCCCGGCGGGGCCTTCAGATGAGATCACAGCCCTGGTGAACATCTTGGGCACAGCCCCCTCGGTTCTTGAGCCAGAGCCACCCAGCTAAGCTGCTTCCGGATTCCTGATCCTCAGGAACTGTGTGGGCTAGCACATGTTTGCTGTTTTAAGAGACAAAGTTTTGGGGTGCTTTGTGACACCAGTGGGGTGATCTTGGGTGAGCCGCCCTCATCTGCTAGCTGTTTTCTCATCAATAAAATGTGTGTGTATAATAAGTCCTGTTTGTGAGGGGCTGTGAAAATAGAATTTGCTAGTAGGCATAAAGGTACTTACATGTGTCCTACAGATTTAAGGGGTGGTTAACTCATTCCTCAGTTGTGGGCCTGAGTCACAGGGGATGCGCCTGGTAGGGGGGCTGTGGGCAGACTGGAGCAAGCACAGAGGGCCCTGTTATTCATCTCCTGCATGGACACACTGAAGGTCTTCGCAGATCAACCCCTCTCCCTCAGAGGGAACTGGTGACCTCACAGGCCCAGGTAAACACAAGGTGAGATTTTTAGTCCTTCAGCGGAAATGAACAAAAGACAAGCCACTTAACAGCCAAACTGACCCTGGTTACTTCTGCCTTCCAATATAAACCGTACACAGATTCGAGGTACAAATCTTTAATTTTGTCCCTCTGGATAGGGAAAGTGGCTTGGACTTACACCCTTCAGATGAGCAGGAAGTCTGAGGCTTCCCTGGAATTGTCCTCCATGGGAGGGTCTCCCCATCTAAGCACCAGGAGGAGAGGCCCTGAATCAGAGCCCACAGCCACTGTCCTTGCTTCTCTCTGCCACACGATGGCACTGTCGGCAACCTCCAGGTGAAACCTCTGTGTCCCGCCCTGCTCAGGAGGGCAGCGAACCATCCAAAATGCCACACCCGACCAAGGGTGCCCCATGCAAGTGTCCCAGGGTCACAGAGGGATGCCCAATGGCACCCATTCCTCCAGCACTGCAGCCCCAGGGTGCTGTCAGCTCTGGTCCCCTCTGTAGGTGACAAGGACTCTTATCTCCTTCCTCCCCAGGAAGTCACCCCCACAAAGGGCAGCTTCCTGTAAAACCAAAGGATGTCCCTACTCACTTTCCCCAGGCCAGCAGGACTACGCAGCCCCCTGCAAACAGCGCTGAATCTGTTAGGGATGCACTGGGCTGCAAGGAGCAGAAACCCAAAGAACTGTGGTTCCAGCAAAGAAGGCTTCCTCTTTGTCATGTAATAAGACCCCAAGGCGGTGGTTGCCACACTGGCTCAGCTGTCCCACAAAGCTCCCAGGGCCCAGGCTCTGTGCTTTCTGCCCAGCGCTGCCTCCTCAGCATGTTGGCTTTGTGCCCATGCTTCTTGCCCATGTTGCAAGCTCACTGCCCCAGATCCACACTTCACACCTGTGTTCAAGCCAGGAAAGGGGCCGGCCACTTCTGAAGGCCTTTTATCAGGAAGCAAAGACTCTCTCCTGAAGACCCTTAGCCAACTGCTATAGACATCCCACAGACCAAGATGTTATCACACGGCCACCCTTAGCTGCAAGGGAGCCTGGGAGTTGAGCATTCCACTTTTCCAGCCTCCAGAATAGAAGGTGATAAAGAGGGAGTAGCTATTAGACACAAATGGTGTCTGCAGAAGATTTTCTCTTAATGGTTCCACACGGCCCCCCCCCCCCCACCTTGAGCCCCCTCAGGACAAAACCACCAGTTCCGCAGCTGACCCGTCCTCCTGGGAACATCAGGGAGAACTTGCCTCTCTCCCGCAGATGACAGAAGGCAAAAACACAGGAGTTGAAATCTCTTCATGCGTAGGGATATGGCATAATTCACACCAGAGGAAAGTCACGCTCCACAGTCTTCCTTTTCCCTCCCCGACGCTTGTAGAGAAGGGGAAAGGGAAAGTCAGAAATGTCAGAGCAACAGCCAGACCGCCACTGCCTGGGGCGGAGGGCTGGGAGGTGGTCAGTAGGTGGTCAGGAGCCATTAACGGTCTTGCCAAAGTGTGGTCTTGGGGGAGGGGGAGCAGAGACGGGGAGAGGTTCTGCTCTGCAAAACGGGTGAGGGAACTGAATCTGGGGAGGACCAAAGGGCGAACTTAGGGAGAAGGGCCACCTGGCTTTGTCACCTCCAGGGAAAGGGGGCTGCACGCCTGGATGCACCGTGAGAGCAATGCTTAAGGGCGGGGCCCAGAGCAAGACTGAACACAGGACACAAGCGGATGATCAGGGAAGGCAGGTGCCACCACCCCTGTCCCCCTGACCCCAGAGTCCTGGTGAGGACAGAGAGGAGGGATTTGTGGCTATGGAGGCTGGGGTCTGAGCCAACCTCACATGCGGATCTCCAAGGACAGAGAGTAGTGGGCTGATTTCCAGTTTACTGACACATGTTGAAATGCTGGCGACTTCATTTGTTTGTGGGGGAGGAGGCAGGTGGCACTTTTCCTCCTGCCCTCAGAGGCCTCCACCACCCTGTCCCCCAGGATGCCCAAGGGTGGGTAGCACTTATGCGAAGCTGCGTTCTTTGTCTTGCACACTTACTGGGACATCCTGACCTGTCTGCCTGGAATAGATGGTCAGAAGACAGGTGGCCTGAGCCCATGGTCATGGTCACAGCAGGCATCAGGGCCCTTGGCTCCTAGACCAGCCTCAGCCCCACCCTTCCCCCCCGACCTCAAACTACAAAGCAGATGGAGTGTGTTTTCTGGCCCTTCTGGGTCCCCTCATCTGACTCTCCAGGGGTCACAACCTTGATCTTGTCTGCCTGCCTTACTGAACCCTGAGTTCCTGTGAGCCGCTCAGGCTTATCCCTGCCTCCCTTGCAGTCCCCTGCTGCCTGCCTCGCCTTGTGCTGCCACATGCTGGGGACCCCCTTAGTCTGTGGATAACTTAAGAAATACTGAGGCCACACTGAGGAGCCCCTATTCAGGGGCTGTTCTGTTCCCAGGAGCCCCAAGCCCCAGATCTTCCTCAGCCCTCCTTCCTCCAAAGCTTACCAGGCCCATGTCCCATGCCTCAGAGCCTGGAAGGACCCTGAACTACCTGGATTTCAGGTACCTGAAGGACCCTGAAGACTACCCTAATTTGCATTAAGGTATCCAACCCCCCGGGGGACACAGTGCATCTCCTGGGTCTCAGGCTTACCCCCAGTGTCTTGGCCAGTGCAGTAACCCATGAAACTGTTAGGCTGGTGGGACATGTTTGTGTCCCCCCTGCGATGTCACAGAGAAGCTTGGGTACAGAACACCCCTCCAAACCTCCCCAAATCCTGGCTCCTGGAGGGAGCAGGAGGGAGCCCAATTCAGGGTGCTTCCTTGCCCTCTGCCTTCCTCCTAAAACTGTCTGTCCCTGGCTGTGCCTCCCCCCGCCCCCACCAGGGGCTGGGCCAGTGGAGTCAGAGAGTGGGGATGGGGGCTGAGCCATCTCTGTTGGGGCAGACGGGGCCCCTCTGTCCTCTCCCCAGCCCAGGTAACCTGAGCCTGGCATTTTGTCCATCTTGGAACAGCTGCTGGTGTTGTGGTCAGACAGCTGGTGGGGCCTGGCTGGCCCGGCCGGGCTGGCTGGGGTGGGACCATGGGCTGTTACATGAGACCCAGAGTCTACATCTCTCTACCCTGCGCTGCCGTCCCAGCCATCACTGTAGAGCTGCGGCACCATGCGCCGGGGCCAGGGCCCGCCGCTCCTCCTGCCGCTGCTGGCTGTC